GGGATAAGGGTCTGAAAAATACCCCAACTTTGGTCGGATTTGTTGTTGCGATACTAAACTTTCATGAGGACCTATTACCTCCCTAGATTATTTAATACCATATTTTTTACCCCCTGAACTATTTAATAGTGTATTTTAAAGGTATATATATGCCCACGTGGACACATTACTATTTATAATTTTGCATTATTTTTTATGTCCACGTGGACAAATATATATGTTTAAAATACGGTATTAAATAGTCTAGAGAGGTAATAGGTCCTCATGAAAATTTAGTATCACAACAACAAATTCGACCAAGTTGAATATTTTTCAGACCCTTATTCCAATTATTTACATAGAAGTTCTTAGAATTTATAGAAAATTGAATATATTAAGACAAAATTGTGTGAATTTACTCTTAGTAAGACTATTGATTAGGCTTCTCGAGGTTATGTTAGAATCTTCCGTCTACGAAGATGTTCATTTGAATTCTCGTTCGAAAATTTCACTTTTATTTAAGATTAAAAATATGGGATAATATTTATGTATATGTAATAAATTTATATATTAGATGAAAGAAAGGAGTATTACATGTGAAGGGCATTTTGCGTCTCTATGAAGTACATAAGAATCTGTTCTTCTTTTCTTTTCTAGTGCTTTTATACATGATATGCTCATGTGACCTTGTTGTATGATTCATGTGACCCTAAAGTTACCAATTCTATCAATATCTATTGCACTCTAAGTTTTCCAATCTAGGTGGTCCCTTTTTCAAATTCTTCTAAATTTTATATGTATGAAAAAATTAGAAGGGGAGGGGAGGTATCACCCAAGTGTTGATATTTATTTCAATTACCAAAATTGGGAAATTTAACTATTAAGAATCTTAAAATAAACCCTAAGTATTTGAATGGACAAGAAAACTTTTAGTTATTCGAAGATGATCGATCATATTTGATATAGATGAGAATAGTAGAGATGAAGATAAAATAAGAAAATATTGCTGGAAATGTGGTATAGTTATGTCTGAAGTCGGCCTTCAGACACTCAGATTCGTAATTATAAAATTACGATGATTATAATTTCATAAATATAAAATTACGGTGACTGAAAATATTCAATTAGAATGAGATAGATTTTAAATCACGTCAAATAAAAAGAAAAAAAAGGTTAAAAGCCCTAGAACCTATTAAAATTCTAAACTAAGTAGAAAAATAGGACATAGTAGTAAAGAAATCCATAAGGAAGCTATACAAATTAACTTCTTCTTTTCTGATTTCATATTTGGTGTGTGGTATCTACATTAAAATTTGACTAAATTTGAATTCGCGTCAGAAAATCCACATTAAGGGGTAAAACGCTCCTTAACAAAAATGATTACAAAATCAAAAGGACTCAATGAAACCTCTAATTGAGAATGAAAAGTACTTATCATTCCACCACAATTCGATTATACAGATTAGTTGCAAGCCTATAACTAAGGCCTTGTCATTCTAGGCAAGCATTTACGCTTGTTAGTTAGAAGATAGAAACTTCGTCTAGCGCTAATTACAACTCCTTCCATTTCATTGGAAGTAAGTAAATTGTTAAGGCAATATATTCATTAAAAAAAAAGTTTAAAACACCATTTTTCACTTTTATTCTTTTATTTATTCTTAAGTTATTCTTGAAAATATAAATTATTCAAAGTAAAATTATAAATATGAGCAATTAATTCTTTTGAAATTATCACTTAGAAGATATAAATGAGGGAAAAAATAGGAAAAAAATTCAATAACTTTCTTGAACTTTGATCAATTCACTTATTTTGAACTATGAAAAAAGACTCAGAGTACATTAAACCCTTCTAATACTTATTAAAGCAATATTTCCTCGTCTCAAATTATTTGTCATATTAATAATTATTATTTTTAAAGACTACAAACACCTCAATAAAATAAATTTTAATGAGGGATGATTATATGATTTTTTGACATAAATAAAAATAAAATAGTTAAAATTTATTTTTAATTAATATGTTTTCCAAGAGACATAAAAGAGAAGACAAGTAAGGTTTGCTCAAGTGATTGAGCACATTCACCATCATACGAATGATAATGAAAATATAATTGATTATTTTTCAAAAATAAAAATAAAAAATATTCATGAACTTGGTGTGTGAATTATTAGTTTTGTTCTCAAATTATTCACAATATTAAAAATATTTTTTTACTTAACTAACTAAACTTAAATATATCACTGATACACTCTTGATCTACTAGATGACATAGCAAGTAGTTTCAAACTTTTGTAAGAGCGTGAGACTCTTAATAAAAAGCTGATAAAAGTATTGAAAATACCCCTAAACTTGACAAGAATTTAGAGGAGTATTTCACTCATGCTGCACTAATATGAATATATTTAAATTCAATTAATCAAATTAAAAAAATATTTTTAAAATTATCAGTAACTTAAAAATGAAACGAATAATTTATGTTGAGTTTAACCGTATTTTCAATATTCTCGCATTTCATAATCCTGTTTCCCCAAGCCCAATGTGAAAATGTCATACAAATTCTTGAATTTTCCAACAATAGTAATAAATGATATGCCTTAAACTTACTACTAAATAATCAATAAATACTGCAAAGGATGTACATTGGTTTGGTGCTTCTGATTATACCTTACTCTGACTACAATTCATGACAATATTTTAAATAGTTCATCATTAGTAGGTAAAAACTAATAAAATAAAATAAAAGAAGCTACAAGGTTTGCTGGATAAATAAAATTAAATAAAGTCTATAAGAATGTGAAAATTGTCAGAGAATGGACCCCTACACATCATGTGGATTATAATAATAATAATGATCTACAATTAAAATTAAAATTAAAATTAAAAGTTAAAACTCCCCTCTTCTCTTCCACGTTGTCTCCTGCAACTAAAACTTGGAAAATACACAAAACATAACGAACAAAATTCAAGATTCTTATCTTTAATTAACTTTCTCTCAAGAGTTAAAGCTCAGCTGCTCAGGTGTCATATCTTTATATGATATTCAAAATAGGTTCATTCTTCTAATTTGGACTCTCGGCTTAAACTTCAATTGTCCTTTTAGATGTGAAGTGATATTAGAGTGGATCAAAGTCTCACATTAATTGAAAAATTAATTGACGATCTGCTTATATAGATTTGGATAATCTTTTCATAAGCTAACTTTTTGGGTTGAGTTGATAAAAAAATGAACGAAAACGAATCGATTCACATCGATCGCTACATTGAATAATTGACAATTAGCTAGTTAGGGGAATATAGAATATTGTCCAACAGTACTACTAGTGACTACTACATATGACATTTCACACTTTTTTTCATCAAAAAAGTCTAGGCCTTCGTATTATGTGGTTTGCTCATGTATTCAACAAATAAAGTAATACGTAATAATATAATTTCTATAAATTCATATATTATGATAAGAATATATATAAACTTATCATATTTATGCATTAATTGATTTTGTATAAATATTGGGTAAAACTTTTTTTCTTTTACTTACTAATTAGCTTCATTTTGGTCAC